TACCCCTCACCTCCACAGAAAGAAGAAAAAGAGAAGTGTAATTGTTCATTGTGATTTTGACTTAGTGTTTGAATTTTCGCCCTTCTGTTGGAACCAGTAGTTACATCACTGTTACTCATAATGCTAAGCAGTGGAATCCTTATTGTAAAAGATTAAATTGGTGGTTTGGAGAGAAAAAACTTCTTTTCCCCTGAAATCTGAAGGACTTAGAGTTGTAAAGATATATAGTAAAAATAAGTAGTTTACATTTTATTATACCTAGTTTTGAAGACTGGATGTGTTTTGTATAGTCTGTAGAAATTGCCATGAAAAGATTTTATTATTAACATTTAGATTATGAATGTGTTTGAGCTAATGAATAAAAATTTGTATTCCATGTGATGAATTTTGTTTTTTTTAATAAGTGTGTCTAATGTGAGAATTTGCATTGTTGTCTTGTAGATATGGCAACTGTATCTGCAGGATTTTCTTAGGTTAGTAGGACTAACATACAATTGGGTAGATTAGACATTGAAAAAACTATTACGATCTCAAAATGTTGAGATTTTATTAAAAAAAACTGGATTTAGGAATTCACAAAACAGTAGGATGTTATTGAAGTCTTAGGAATTGATTTGTGTGTAAACTTGGGTATGTTTTATGGCACTGTGTGCGATGACCATTTGTGAATTTGTTTTTGTTTTCAGGAACATTCTGTTTGAGTACATGCCCCCGCTTTTCATGTCTTTTTTATCTTTTTTAAGCCTCTTGAAACTTTATATTTAAAACAAAATCACAAACATGTTTCTCACTACAGTATGTGGTATGCTATATTTTCCAGTGTGGCCACTGCTTTAAAGCTGAGTACGTCACACTTTGAATTGTACGCGAGCCTGAGCCCCCTACCTTGACCAGCAGGCAGGAGACCCAACAGAAAAACCACAATAGCCAAGCAGAATAAATACAGAGCATATCTGTAAACACGAGAGTTGAATATGATAACATCATTAAAAGTGATAGTTCATAGATGAAATCTGCCAATCACATGTTTTTAAACCTGGAGTGATACGATAAGTTTACATATCTGTTATGTATACAAAATGTTTTTTTACATCAAGTGGAATTTAAAAAAATTTAAGCAGGATGGAAATGCAGACTAAAAAATTAATTTTCTCTAGAGTAAATCCAACAGTTTCTCTTATGAACTAATTGTTAAAAACCTGGAGTAATTAACAAAACCAGAAGATGCACCCGTACCACAGTTGGTCCTCATTATACAGTTATACAGTTGACTTAGCGTCTCAGGATCAGTAGGAATGCTCCAAAGAGCTGATGATTCGTCAGATGACTTGGAGGCCACTTCAGTGTACACGCGGCTGACGTAAAGTAAGTTGAGTGTTGTGGTGGATTAATCAGTGAAGCCGCTTTGTAGAGATAACGTTCTACCTAAGTATTGAAGAGTGCTGTGGATAACGAGACTGATCAGGGAGACACGGATGTTAAAATCACAGTGGTGGGAATTACAGGGTGCACACATTTTCCTTGACAAGTGAATTTTAAAATAAGCTTGGTAAGATTGCAGTATGAACTGGAGGAGTCTGAAGTTTGCCTTGGAAATTTGAAGTAAACGTTTCACTGATAGTTGATTGGCCAGAATTCCATGAGAAAAAGTAGGAAAGCATGTAGCTAGACTGCTTGGGGAGTGAAAGGGCCTGGCAGAGCTATCTGCTTGGTGGGGGCTTGAGGAGGAAGGGTGGGCCATGACTTTTGTCTTCAAAGTGTTGCCCTCCCATCCCTCTGTAGACCTCGCTGACCTCACCTTCACAGAGATCTGCCTGTCTCTGCTTCCCAAGGTGTGCAGAAGATGGATTTTTAAAAAAGTAACATGAAATATTGAGGCTCCTAATTGTGTAGTAAAGAGCTAAATAAAAACGAAACCACTTGGTGCTGAAGAAATGGTGTAGTGGGTATGCAGGTGTGAGGATTTGGGCTTGTTGAAAGCTGAGTTTATATTTATAACCTTTGCTCCTCCATGTGTGGCAGTGGGGGTGGGGTGGGAGGTTGATCCTGGGAGCTCCTTCACAGGCCAGCGTAAGTCTGGCTGCACTAGCCAGCTGCACATCTGCAGCCTCCAGGGGCACGCACACCTGTGAATAAACACTGAGCTCAAGCACTCATACACCACACACAGTGGAACATCGTTACTGTTTTCTGCAGTTCAGCAATTTACTTGATGATAAAGTTCATGTATGAGTTACAGGTCTTACGATACATATATCTACTCAGTGATTTGAGCTTTTGTTAGGTTTGTTGTAAGAACATTGGAGGCCAGGTCTACATAGTGCGTTCTGGGACAGTCAGGGCCACAGAGAGACCTTTCTCAAAATCCAAGAAAGTTATGTTGTAATGTAATGGATGGATTTTGATTGTATAACTAGTCATAGTGTAAGAGATAATAGATATAAAAACAGTCAATAATTAGGGTTAATTACCTGGACTATCAGTTTCTGTTATTAAGTAGGTACATGTTTTAAAAACTTGGAACATTTGGAGAGGCCCTCATGCTTGGCAGGCAAGTGCTCTGTCTATGAGCTATACCTTATGCTCAACATTAGGGGGAAGTGCTTGAAGATTTAGCGCCCTAGCTGGTACATGTTTTTATAGTTTATGTGATTTATCTTTACTAGAATTTAAGGGCTCCGTAATGAATATGTTATGTTTTATAACATCTAGAAGTTTATAATGTATAGAAGATCATTCTTGAAATGGAATTAGGAAAAACATGAACATTGCAACAGTAATAAAATTTAAATATCTTTCTGCTTTTAAAAGAATTATTAAAGAATTAAACAGTTCAGAAAATTTGGAGTAAATGAAATTTTACAGTTTTAAGGTAGTAATGTGTTAGTTTTGAAATAAATTGACATTTTAGCCATTTTAACAGTTAATATTAGCTTACAGTTTGTGGAAACTTGGGAGAATAGCCACATTTGACTGTCTTGGTATCAATCATCCCTTAAAGCAAAAGATGTTTCCCTTGCTGGCAAGTGGGAACTGGACTTTTCATCTGTATTTCTCAGATTGGGAGTTTGTGTAGATAGGATGGATGAGGAGAGGAGACAGCGGAAAACAGCTGTCATGGTGTGGGTGCAGGAAGTGAGGGCTGCTTTCTGGAAACCCCACTCACTCCTCTAAAGCAGATGGTCCAGAGTTTATGCCTCTGGCTCCTGAGCTTCGGGAGTAGGGCCACTGTGGTGTGTGTCCTCTGGCCATGGGTATCTGTAAATTGGACTGTAATGAAAAATGGCTCCGTGCAGGAGCAGGCAGCAGCGGAAAGGAGACCGGGACTTACACAGATGTTGTAAACACTCCCCGTCTACAGGAGTCCTCGCATAGGTTAGCAGTGCTGTAGAAACTGTACAGCCAGCACTCTAGTAGACACACCCCTGTCTGCCTGCCTTCTGGTTGCCTTGCTTTCCAAGCCTGGCTTACCAGTTTTCCTTCCACACATAGTTACCGAAGACCTAACCGGTATTGAGTACTGCTCCTCATCATTGAAAATTTGCTGGGTTTGGTGGGTTTTTTTGGCTTGTTTAAGACAGGATCTCACTCTGGCTGCAAATCAGAGCTCCACTTGCCTCCTAAACTGGAATTAAAGGCTTGTGTTGCTTGTTGTATTTTTGGTTTTGTTTTTTGAGACAGGGTTTTTCTGTATTGTTGTGGAGGCTATCCTGGAACTCCGCTCTGTAGACTAGGCTGGCCTCAAACTCACAGAGACCTGTCTGCCTCTGCCTCAGCCTCCCATGAGAATGGTGATAGAAAACTAAGAGAGTGACCCTGAAGTAAAGCCTAGCAACAAGTAGTGACTAACACTCGGTGGTAGGGGCCTGTGCCTGGTCATGAGTTGCCTGAAGGTACCATGGAAAGAACTTTCTAAAAGCCTGTAGAGCAAGCAACACTTGGGGAATCTTTGTCTTCAAATTTCTTTTTTTTTCCCATTTAAAAAATTTTATTTTTCATTTTACATGTGCCAGTTCCCCCTCTTCCCCCATGTCCTACCTCTCCCCCTTCCCACTCTCCATCCTCTCCTCAGAGGGGGTAAGACCTCCCTTGGGGAGTCAACAAAGTCTGGCATAGTAAGTAGAGTCAGGACACCACGCTGACTCCCCTCCCCCAATCAAAGTTGAACAAGGTATCCAGCCATAGGGAATGGTCTCCAGGAAGTTAGTTTATGTGCTCAGGATGGGCCCTGGTGCCACTGCCAGGTCCCTGCCCCAACAGATGAAGCCACATAGCTGTCACCCACATTCAGAGGGCCTAGTTCAGTCCCATGCAGGTTCCCCAGCTGTCAGTCCATACTCCCTGAGGGTTAGTTTTAGTTTTTCGAGTTAGGGTTTCTCTGTAACAGCCCCAACAGTCCTGGAACTCATTTTGTAGACCAGGCTGGCCTCGAACTCCCTGAGATCCTCCTGTTTCTGCCTCCCGAGTGCTGGGATTACAGGCGTGCTCCACCACTGCCCGGCCCCTATCATGCTCTTGACTCCTTGTTCATATGATCCCTACTCCCTTTCTTCGCTGAACTCCAGGAGATCAGCCTGGTGCTTGGAAATCAATTACTGGATGTAGGTTCTATGAAGACAATTAGGGTAGTCTCTGATCTGATTACAGGGGAAGGCCCGTTCAGTTACCTCTCCCCTGTTGCTTGGAGTCTTAGCTGGGGTCATCCTTGTGGATTCCCGAGGATTTCTCTAGTACCAGATTTCTCCCTAACCCCATAATGGCTCCCTCTATCAAGGTATCTTTTATTGCTCCGTCCCTTCCCCAGTTGGTTTTCTTAATCCCTCATGCTCCCATCCCCTCCTTCCTCCCCTCCTCCCCCAGTTCCTTTCTTAGACTGAACTGGAAGCCTGTGTGAATGATGAGAACTAGGCAGAGCTCAGGTTAAGGGTGTGCTCCTAAACTCGGGGAGGATGACTATGCGTTGGATTAGAACTCAACACCAGCCTGTTTTCTCCTCTCAGTCCTGTCAGGAGCAAGACTGGAGACTCCATCCCTTTACAGAAAACTGGTGTGAGAGAGGAAAAGCAACGCCTCAGCTGATAACAGAAGACGACCCAGGTAACCGCTCAGACAATTCCTAAGTGACTGGAGCCCTGCTCCTAGACTGAGGACCACCAAATACTTGAGAATAAGCCAGAAACGATGATCGCGGGGGAGAAGCAGTGCGAGCAGACGCGAGTGTTAGCTGTACTTTCAGCCGTGTGAAAGGGCGGGCAGTGCTTAGAAAGCAAGGAGGGAGGCTCTTACAAGTTGAGAGTAGGAGACTATAGGGTGAAAGGGGCACTGGACATTTAGTGGAAGGTTTGGTAGTGAGGATCTTTTTGTTTTGTTTTGTTTTTTCAAGACAGGGTTTCTCTGTATTGCTTTGGATGCTGTCCTGGAACTCACTCTGTAGACCAGGCTGGTCTTGAACTCACAGAGATCCACCTACCTCTGCCTCCTGAGTGCTGGGATTAAAGGCGTGCGCCACCACCGCCCGGCTAACGGAGTTCAGAATCTTAATAGGAGGTTGGATGATAAAGTTAAATCTTCCATAAAGGATCAAAGTGGATGTAAAGTGGAGGAAATAAAATCAGAACACACTTGGAGGTTGAGCCTGGAAAAAACAATTACAGACCAGAAAACTGGTTGGTGGTTGAGCAGGAGCTGAGTTTTACATGGCAAGGGAATCCTGATGGAGGCACACACTGTGGTATAGGGTGGCCGAAGCAGGATTGTGAATTTGGCTAGCCTGGGCTGTGGAACTAGCTCAAGTTCAACCTGGGTGGTGTAGCAACACAATGTCTCAAAAATTGAAAGAAAAGGGGGAGGCTTGGAGGATGGAGGGATTGGGCTGGGCTGTAGCTCGATGATGGAGCACATGCCTAGCATGCCCAAGCCTCTGGGTTCAATCTCAGGAAAACACACACACCTTACAGAATGGTGAGCATAGTGTTTGAAAACATGTCCATGTTGAAGTTTTAGACACAGAAACAAGGGAAGGTCATAGTGGTGATAGAAAGGGTTATGAATCAGCACTGGGAAATTATTGATAATGGGATGATGCTTTCAAAGTTCTGAAGAAAGCTATTATTGTACGTCACTCATTTGCATGTTGCTAACTTAGCACACATGAGAGGAGCTTTAAAATCCCAACACTGTTGAGAGTCTTCAGTTCAGATGCAGTGTACTTTAGGAAGTTACTGAAAGGCACGTGCTGCTTAGGAAGTGATGAATAAACTAGAGGAGGAATGACCCCCATATTAGAAATGGCTGAATTTAGAATTCCTGGAATGGGGGTAGAGGGAGAACCCAGGATGCAAGGGTTTGAAGAGTAACCAGTTTAAATTGGTATGTCATCGGGCAAACTAGAGCTCCAGTTATTTCAAGACTTACTTTCAAGAGACAGAAAGACCGAGAGCGTGACAGAGAGAGAGTGTGTGTGTGTGAGAGAGAGAGACAGACAGAGAGAGAGAGAGAGACAGAGACAGACAGAGAGAGAGAGAGAGAGACCATACCTTCAGAAGCCGAGGCTTACATACTCTTAGAGTTGGAATTAGAGACACTTTTGAGCCACTCAATGTAGGTGTTGGGCACTGAACTTGGGTTTTCTAAAAGAAGTGTTTTCTGCTGAGCCTCTGTCCAGCTCCTGGAAGCAGAACTTTTGCAGATTTCAGAGGGTTTTTTTTTGTTTGTTTTGAATATTTAAGTGGAATTTACTAATAGAGCATTAGGTGCCTTAAAAGTTTTGAGTTTAGAAGCTCTAGATTTCAGAATTTTGAATGAGGGGTGTTTGACCAGATGTTTCATAGGAGGAGAGTCATATCATATTAGCTGTTGTACTTGTCTTATGTCAGTTAGAATAATGCTCTCAAGTTTCATCCGTGTTCTGTATGACATGTATGTAATTAACTTTTTGGAGACTAACAGTATTTTATTACATATACTTATGTATAATCTTTATCCATTTGTCCATTAATGGACAGTTGAGTTGCTTCCATGGTGTGAGTATTGTGGATAATGTTATAGATATGGGTGTGCAGGTACATGAAGCTCTGCTTTGAATTCTTTTACCTATACATTTGCTAATCAAATGCTAATTTTATTAAACTTCTCAAGGTTGACCAGAACGGTCACACCTTTTTCTATGGCTGACAGTGTACCAAGAGTCCCAGTTTCTCTGTGTCCTCACCAGTGCTGCTTTTGCGTTCTGTTTCTTTTTATAGTTATCCTATTGATTGGGGGATGGAGAGGGGGTGTGGGGTTATATCTCAGTATGGTTTGTAGTTGGAAGTTTTTCTCTGTCTTGTTGGGTCCCACCGGACTGGTTTCTCTCCCACCTGCTAGGTACTGTAGCTGCTTATGAAATAGCACTCAGAGGCTAATACTAAGTATGGTTTGGCCAATGGCTTAGGCATATTATTGGCTAGCTCTCTCTTATAAATTAACCCATTTCTATTAATCTATGTATTGACATGAGGCTGTGGCTTACTGGTAATGCTCCTGCATGTTACTCCTTTGGTGACTACATGGTGTCTCCTGACTCTGCCTTCTTTCTCTCCGTAACTCTGTTTAAATTTCCTTCCTGGTTATATTTTGTCTGGCTATTGGCTGAAACAGCTTTATTCATCAACCAATAAAAGCAATGCATATTTGGAGCATACAGAAGGACTTCCTGTATCAATGGTTTTGATCTGTAATTATCTGTAATATATGATATTGAACATCTTATTGTTGGTTCATGTTCTATTTGTCTTTTGAGAATTAGGTTTTCAAGTCCTTTATCCTTAAAAAAAATTAGGTCCTTGGTTATTTGTTGTTATATATCTTCTATGTAGTTTGATAGTAACTCCCTATTATTAAATCATTGTTTCCAATGAGATGCAGGAGTCTTGAGGGATGACGTCTTGTCTGTCTGTGTTTAGGAGTTTGTGTTTTTAAATTGTATGTTTGACTTTTATCCATTTTGAGTTAATTTTTGTGTGTGGTGTGAACTGTTTGTCTTTGATTTGCATGTGAATGTTAGACTTTGCCAAAATCATTTCTTGGAGAGATGTTTTCCCCATTGTGTATTCTTGGTACCTTTATGAAAAACCATTTGACCTTATATTAGCATTTCTTTCTGGGTTGTTTTGCTCCATTGGTTTTCATGGATTTGTCATTTTAACTGTTCTAAAACCAGGAAGTTTCACGTGTTGTTGAAGATTGTCTTGGCTCTTTGGGGTCCCAGATTACATTCAAGTAGCTATTTCTTTTTCTACAAAACTGTCATGGGTTAGACAGGGATTGCTTCCATTGTAGATTGGGTTAGGTGATCTTGCCATTTTAACTTCATGTGTTTGTGTCTTCAGTGTCAGTAATCCTTTCTTATTTTCATAGTACACTTTTCTTTTCTTGGTTAATTCCTAAATATTTTTTAGTGCTATTACGGTGAAGTTGTTTTCTCAGTTTTTAATATTTTTGGATCATCGAAGTTGTGTATATACATAACCAGTGTTTTTAATGTGTTGACTTTGTATCATGTTATATTGCTCAATTTGTTAATTAGCAACAGGATTTTATTTTGGACTCTGTAGGGTGGTGTTCTTTTGGAATCATCATATCATCCATAGGCAAATACAATTTTCCCTTTTCTTTCTGAATTGGATGCATTTTATTACTTGCCAAATTGTTTTACACGCAGATTTCTGGGGCTGCTTTGGGTGGGAGTAAGACTCGGGAGTTCTGTTTTGTTCCTGGTCTTAAAGAGAACACTTTCAGTCTTTGACTCGTGTGTTTTCTGTGGGCTTTTCACCCGTGTAATCATTCAAGCCTGTGGTCTGTGGGCAGCAAGTGTCCAGAATAAATGTGAATGTTGCCATAAATGTTTGTAGGTGACAGCAGCACGCTACAGCGTCAAAAGGTTGAATACCCCTCAATTGTATAGTTCTAGTTAGGTTGAAGTGGTTTCCATATTTAGTTTTATAATAAAGTGATGCTGAGTTTGATTGGGTGGCTTTTGTACATCAACTGAGATAAAGCTGTGACGACTGCCCCTGCTGTTGATTTCTTAATTGCTCTCAGGAATATGACTCACTTGGTGGAAGTATGCAGTTCTTTAATATGCTATGGGATTTGTTTTGTTAATACTTGACTTGAGCTATTCACACCCTTTATTAGAGATACTAGATTAGCCTTTGTCTTGATAAGGTTTCAAGATAATCTTGACCTCATAGAATGAGTTTGAGGTATTCTTCAGTTCTTTGGAAGAATTTGACTCTTAAGTGTTTGGTAGAATTCTCTAGAGGAGATGTCTAGTCTTGGACTTTTCTTAGTTGGAAAAAATTAAAGACTTACAAAAATTTTCATATATTTAGGTATTTTGCCACATGTATGTTTGTGAACCATAAGGCCAAAGGGTGCCAGACCCCCTGAACTGGAGGCAGGTGGTTGTGAGCCACTGTGTGTGCTGGGAGTTGTCCCTGGGTCCTCTGCAGGACCAAGTGCTTTGGGTCACATCTCTAGCCCCTTGGTTGGACATTTTTAATTACTACATCTGTGTCATTCATGTCTCTGTGGACCAAACTGTTTGGCGGGAATATTTTGGTCTATGACTTTAGAGGTTTTCAGTCTGCCAGCCCACCAAGTTCACGACAGTGGTTTGTGGCAGGAACTAGGGGCCTGTATGTTTTCAAAGGCCCACTGCATGTGGCCCGCTTCTCCTGCCAGGTAGGCTCCCTCCACATAATAAAGGTTTCATAGCAGGGGACCAAGTCTTCAAGCATGGGGGAGTCATTTTAGATTCAAACCATAGTAACATCTAATCTTCATTAGTTATGGGGTTTTCCTTTTCAGTTCAATGACATGTGCTTGCCATTTTCTGTAGGTACCTCATGACATGTTTTTAATGGCTTTAACATTTTTGAGGAGTATTGGTTGGCTGCATTAGGACATCTCTGTTGGGATGCGTTTTCTCAGGGTTAGGATGTAGCGGGGCCTCAGGAAGATTATTTGACAGTTGAGTCTTCTCCCTAACCTGCGTGAGCAGTGCTTCCTGCTCGTTTCCTCTTTCCTGTGTCCCTTCCCTGGTGCCCGTCTGTAACTCTTCTATATGTGTGTGTCACTCAGGACCTCCTCAGAGAGCCCAGGACAGTCTGTCCACCAATGGTCTGTCTGTAACTCTTCTATATGTGTGCTTCACTCAGGACCTCCTCAGAGAGCCCAGGACAGTCTGTCCACCAACCGCCCCCTCCAAAGTTGAGTGGTTATAAAAATGTACAGAAATTGTTTCATACTTTGTAAATCTGGAACTATGGACTTGTCACTGTTTCTGCCCCACAGCTTCAGATCAGCACTCAGGTCACCACAGTTGGTCTCCAGTCTTTCTTGCTTCATACTAATAGTAGTTTAGGATTTCTGGTCTCAGCCTCTCCGTAGGGATAGAACCCCCAACATCAGAGCCCTGTCCTGGTGAACTGACTGACTCAGTGAAGCCGGTGATGCTATCTGTTGTTGAGTAGATTTCTTTATTTCCTAGTGTTAATGTTTATTTTTTTAGTTCTTGAAAATGTGAACTAGATTCTGAGTTTTACTTGATTTTATTTCAATACATGTTGGGTGTAGTCAGGCTTTTCTTTGGGCCACCAGCTCACCAAAAATAAAAAAATACAAAACCAGAGACTTATTAAATTACGGACACTCAGCCTATAGCTTAGACTTGTCCCACTGGCTCTTATAACTTCAGTTGACCCAGTTCTGTTCATCTTGGTGTTCCATGTGACTGCTGGCCTTACCGCTCCTCCTCTGTGTGTTCCCTCTGCATTTGGCTGGCAACTCCACCTTCCTCACGGCATTCTCTCGACCATGAAGTTCCACCTAGCTCTCCTGCCTAGCTGTTGGCCGTGCAGCTTTTTATCACACTCATCACAGCCATACATTCTTACCTAGTGTACAAATATCCCACAACAGTTGGGATTCCAGAATTTGAATCTCTTGCTCAGTCTGTATTGCCTTGATTTTAAAAAACTGTGCCAACCACGCAGTGGTGGCACACACCTTTAATCCCAGTACTTGGGAGGCAGAAGCAGGCATATATATATCTCTCTTAGTTCGAGGCCAGCCTGTTCTACGAAGCAAGTTTCAGGACAACCAGGGCTGCAGAGAGAAACCCTGTCTCAAAAAACAAACCTAAACAAAAAAGAAAAACCAAAAACTGTGCCAGCCAGTTGCAGTACTAAACTGAAATACGGAAGTTTAGGTCCCTAATTTGTTCACATTGTAGGTAAGAAAATATACAAGCAAAGCATTCCCTGCTTTAGAATTATCTAGGGTTCACAATTGAGTGACCTAATTGATAGAACCCATTTGACACAGCTGGTGGGACTAAAAACCAGACTGCCAGGATATGCATGAGCTCCATGTAAGGCCTTTGCAAAGTTAAATGTGGTAGGTCAGTGAAGGGGACAGTTTTAGGTCAACATATGGGAAAGCTGGAAAGCTGCGCGCATGGGTGGGTACCCTGGGAACTGAGGAGGTTTAGAATGGTGTATGTGTGGAACAGTCAAGAAAGTGATGTGTGTGTTTAGGATATCCACTATAACGTGACCACTGCGTTCTTGGAGGGACAGAATCAGACACTAGTAAGTCTGAAAATGCAGTTTACAGTTGGAGGAATCTAGGTTGAGAATTGGAAAAAGTGTGGCCTCCACCTTGAGAATGTTAAATTAAAAGTAATAAATTGCCTTTGGTAGGGAGGAGATTATTGATTTTGGGAAAGACAATACTAAGTTTAAGAACTGGTAGAAATGGATTTTTGGTGAGTCCATTTTTAGTGGATAATTAGTAGTAAAAGTGTTATATTACATTGAGGCAGAATGTTGATTCCTAAGAGTCTCTAGTGGTGTTTAACATACTCTTTATACTTAGTTCCTGCTAGCTGTTAACCACATTTATCATAGGTGTATTCTATGTCATTCTATTACCATAACCTTTATTTTGGTGTGGACACAATATTAGACAAACACTGACTTGTCCTAGAAGTATGTTTCATTAATAAATACTCAACCCTCCTAATAACTGGGTTCTGCCTGATGAATTTAACAAACCCTATATTAAAGGTATTTGGGGGAAATTGTGTTTGTTTAAGCTTGTCCAAATTTGTCTTTGTCTTACTGTCACTCTCAGTAATGTAACACCTGTGTCCATTGGATTTACATGGTATTCATTTTTAGATGTACTATAACAGTGATTTAGATACATGGAAGAAGTTACATAGGTTGCACACAAAGATTATGTCATTTTATATAAGGGATCTGACTGGCTGCAAGATTTTAATATCTTGAAGGGTGTCAGAACTAACTGCCCATAGTCTGAATTATCATTGCTCTGTTATTAAAATCAATGAAAATAAGTTACATAAAATGTTTTAAGAACTACAAATTCTGTTTCCTTAAATATATATGTGTGTGTGTATATATATGTATATATATAGGATGTATGAGTGTGTGTATATATGCATATATGTATAGGATGTATGAGTGTGTGTGTGTGTACCGTGTGTACAGCGTCCACAGATATCACAAGAGGGCATCAGAAGTTCTGGAGTTACAAAAAGCAGATGGTGCCCCGTGGGTTCTGGAAGCCAAACCTTGCTCCTCTGCAAGAACAGCAAGTGCCTAGAACCACTGAGCCATTGGTTCCTCCAGCACCTGCATTTTTAAGTTTCTTGCTGGGATAGATTATTGCTCCGCTTGAATGAGTATTTTATTGAGCACTAAATTAGTTGTTGAAAAGTTTTAGATGTTTTGTGAAGAAAATAAGTTTATAGTTTTAACTTAAAACAGTATATTATACAGTTTTTCATACTTGAAACAAAAAACTAAATGATGGTTTTTACATGTATTCTTTTAGGCTTGATTTAATTTTGGATGAGATTATTCTTGCATCGAGATGTTAATAAGCCAAAATTTAGGTAAGTAGACCACTTTATTAAATGTCAAATGTCAAACTAGGAATAATAAATAATTTATATTTTGAAAGCATGCCTATGAATCTAGAATTAAGGAGTTTTAGAATTTTGCAATATGCTGTATTAACTTTTTGACTGACTTGTTTCAGTTGATTTATTTAGTAGGAGTAAATAAGCAACCATAAAATGGTGAAACTGTAGTTGGTATTTTTTATTTTTTACTCTTTGGGGGCCCACCACCCAGCTCCCAAATAAACACTTGGAGACTTATTCTAACTTATGAATGCCTGGCCTTAGGTTGGCTTGTTTCTAAAGCCAGTTTTTCCAACTTAAATTATCCTGTTTTTCTTTAACTACTTTTTGCCCCTGGGCCTCTTACCTTTCTTGGTTCTATATATCTTTCTTTCCTTCTTGCTCTATGGGTGGCTGGCCCGTGTCATCCTCCTCTTCTCTCTCTCCATTTCTTCTCCTATTTATCCCCTCCCCCAGTCCTGCCTGTCCTTTCTCCTTCCTAGGGATTGGCCTTTCAGCTCTTTATTAGACCAGGTGTTTTAGGCAGGCAGCGTAACACAGCTTCACAGAGTTCAACAAACGTTCCACAGCATAAACAACTGTAGTACATCTTAAACTAATATCCCACAACAGGAAGCAATGTTGGTTTTCTTTCTTTAGTATTGAGGCTGAAGCTTACAGGCTCCTAGTGTTACCGTAACATGTTTAAAAGTCTGATTGGTGTTGGCTTAGCCTCTGTTACTGATCTCTCACTGGCTAGTGCAAGATGAGTTGGCTGCTTTATTTTCTCTGTAGTAAAGAGAATATAGCTCTCTTCTGTGGATTTAACGTTATTTCCTTTAACAAAGAGTGTAAGCCAAGTCTTCTGTGTGTTACCGTGATGTTCAGAGCCTGTGTATTTAGTCACACGTTTGCATGTGTGTGGAGGCCAGGGGTTGACATCAGGTGTCCCTCATTTATTTACTGAGGAGAGACTCTCCATGGGCCTTGTCTGCTGGCCAGCTTGCCAAAGGGACTCATTCCTCATGCTTGCACAGAAGCACTCTGATTCACTGCTACGTCTCCTCAGTCCCATAAATGACTTTTCTGATGTCTCATTCTGACTGGTCTTCTAGAGATTGGTGATTTTTAACCAGGTTAATTTTATTTTGTGTCTGATATGTGAAAGAATGCTTTTCAAATTGTAAGCTTTTTAAATTGATAAAAACACAGTATCAGTAAGTAAACATGGCTTTAAAATACAGAGTGAAAAAGACCAACACCTTGGTCAGTTGTGGGTGTCTTGAAGTAGAGAAGAAACTTGCACTGGACTCTAAGGTCCTGAGAGTATTCCAGTTGCTAGTTAAATATGCAGTGCCTATTTGAATACAGGTCTGGCTTATTTGAAATTCCTTGGGACTTGGATATGTACTTTTCTTTTTTGTCATACAATAATTAACTTTGAGTGGTACATGAACTTTAAAGCACTGAATTGATGACTATATTGCAATTTACATTGAACCACTCATCTAGATAAAGATACAGAACATTTTGTTATCTAGAAAAGTTCTGCTAAGGTAAGCTTTGCTAAATTTCATTAGTCTGGTTTTAATTTTTGAACTTGCTGTACATAGAATTATATGGTTTGTACCATTTTTTAAGTCTTATGTTGGTGTTTTTTATTTATATTGTGAGAATACCATTTTTTATTGAGTCATATTTTCTTGTATGAATGTACCATATTGTTTGTATGTTCTGTTCGTAAACTTTTGTTCTCAGTTGCCAGTACGTCCCCTCTACTCTTGTCCCTTTTCTGTTCCCTACCAGTAGCAGAAGAACATATAAGCTTTCTGTATTAGGATACATAATTACTTAACCGTGCCCACATGCATTACCAGTGATGTTTACACTAGTTTCAGCCTTCTGAAACAGTCATCGTGTCTTGGGTTGTTTCATAAACTTGGAGACAGGCCTGGCCTTATGTAGTAGGTTGTTGTCTGAGTCATTGATTCTATTGCTGTGAAGTGACATCTTGATTAAGGCAACTTATAAAAGAAAGCATTTAATTTGGGGCACACAGTTTCAGAGGGTTGGTCCATGGTCATCATGAGGGTGTCAATGGAGAAAGAGACAGAAGCTGTGTAATCTAGAGCTGGATGCTTCTGACTGCTGTAGCTTAGGCAGCTTGCCATCGTCCCTTTTGTTTTATCATTGTAAACATTTATATCACACACACACGCACGCGCACGACTTATTTATAAAATATAAAACATTTTAAATTTTCTTAATGTCTGAAATACATACACACACATACCCTCAATGATTTAAAATATAAAGCATTTTAAGTTTTTTTTCCCTTAATGTCTGAAATTTGGCTAGTTGAGGTTGGCTGTTATGGTCACCTGGGGGTTTTATGCCTGAAACTAGATTGCCTTCTAGCAAGTCCAAAGCAAAGAAGAGGTTTTCCTCACTGGGATCAATTTGTTTCTTCTCTCATTGCAGCTTCTGCAATAAAGGCTGACTGCAGAGTAAGACACACACACACACACACACACACACACACACACACACACACACACACACACACACGCACGCCACCCCAGTGTTTGTTCTTCTAAAAGGTTTTTTGGTTTTGCTGTTGAACATGTAACCTCTATTAACTTGTGTTTCTTTATGGATGCAAAGCGTGTGGTCTTCTTGTTGACACTGATTTGCACACCTCTAACTCCTTGATTTGCACATCTTTGGATTTTAGACTTGGATTTTCTCTTGGGGTTCTTTAGGTACCCCTCATTTTCAGATTCTTCCTCGAGCGTGGCCCTGAAGAAAAGAACTGTTTTCATTGGTTGGAGGTGGAAAAGGTTGGGCAGAGGGAGGCTTGCACCAAAATTTGAATTTTACAAGTTATTTTGTAAAGGTTTCGTTTAACTGGGTATTCACGTTGCCAAATTTATTGGCATTTTATTTCTTTGGTTTTGAGATAAGGTCTCACTGTGTGGCCTAGGTGGCCTCAGACTTGGTGTTGTCTTCCTGCCTCGTCTGACTGTGTGCTGGAGTTACAGGCATGCACCATCATGCCTGACTTACTCAACATTCCTCAGTGTGTTTATATTGTACTAAAGCATAGGAATTTATTATTTGAATTGTTTCCTGTTTTTTTTTAATTGCTTAAACTTATTTTGAACTCCCCAAAGAATAATGTGGTGAAAGTCTTCATTCTGATCTGTAATTATTTCATTTTTATAGATAATGTCATGAGGTTCAGAATATGGCCAGGTGGATGATTGGATTGCAAAGCTAGAACCAAGGTATTTTTGAGAAGACCGATAGAGTGGATGTTTGACATCCAGTAGGGCTTCTAGCTAGTCTTGAGTACAGTGGGCCTCCCTACCACTTGACTATTGGTCTGTAAAATGTTTTTAATTATCAGTTGGTTAATTTAATGTTATAGGAATTTGTTATTGTAGCTAGATTGTCTTTAGTCCATCCTTGGTAAGTAAGCCCCAGTTAAATGCTTTCTTTTATCAGAGTTGCCATGGTTGTGGTGTCTCTTCACAGCAGTAGAACAGTGACCAAGACACATGGCAAGAGAAAAGATGCAAAATATTGACACCCTATAGACCATCCTCTGCAGCTTCAAAGGTTTTTATAGTTTGGATTCTCTGATTTAAAATTAAGACTATGGTAAGCTTAGATTTGCTAATTTTTAAAAGATTTTATTTTATGTGTATGGGTATTTTTCCTATACGTGTGTGTGTGTGTGTGTTTGTGTGTCTGCACACCATGTGTATCCCTGGTGCCCACAGAAGAGGGCATGGGATCCCTTAAGGGGAGCAAGAGTTCTGGATGGTTGTGAGCCACCATGTGGGTGCTAAAAAACAAATCTTTGTCCTCTGCAAGAACATCCAGGACTCTTAACTGCTGTGTTGTATCTTCAGCCCTTAGATTTTTTTTAACTGCTGTATTGTATCTTCAGCCCTTAGATTTTTTTAAAATTTTATATTTTTGAGACCATCTCACTAAGTAACCCTGGATGGCTTGAAACTGGGTACATAGATCAGATAGATAGGCTCTTAACTCACAAACCCTCCTGATACCCAGGCCTATGTCATTTAACATTTATTTTTCAGTACCAGGCATTGTTTTAGTCTTTGTTTTGTAGCTAATGGATGGAGATTGTTATACCACTTTCATAGCAGTAAAATAGATGTGAAATAAAGTTTTTAAAATGGAGAGACAGACGCAGATGGATCTGTGAGTTACAGGACAGCCAGGGCTACATGGTGCTCTGTGTCAACAGAAAGCAAAACAACACAGAAACGTCACACCAATGCAGTCATCCTCATCCCTCTCAAAGGCTTCTGCACGCCCCGGGTTACTTAGAAAGCACAGATCCGTTATTGTTTTCCACACTGTTTAAATAAAATCATTAAATATTTGCCTGTTTATAACTGATTTATTTCACTTTGTACTTAAGGATTATCATATTGTGATGTTTAACAAACTTTTTGAAGGCTGTTGTGTGTATGTGCACGTCTTCCTCAGCCTGTAACTTGTGAGTGATGTTCCAGTGAATGTGGGTTTAAAATTTCTCTTGAGACCCAGCTTTCTAGTCTTTGGGAATATCATTCTAGATATTTTTGGGCTATGTGTTTAATCTGGTTTCAGTACTCTGAAGACCCACCATATTGTTCTGTAACGGCTGCACCATGTGGTGTTGCCTCTCACACTACTCAGATGCCGTGGGTGATCTTCCCATTTTCACATTTGGAGTCACAGTCTTCATTGAGCCAGGCTTGAAGTTCACCTTAACTTGTGGTCAACCCTGCTTCTCAAAGCCTGGTTTTATCCTGCTTGGTTTATGCAATATTCATAATTCAACCAGGGCTTTGATCCAGCACCTGATCTGTGTCCTCAGCCCCATTTTTAGTTTTTTGTATATTTGACCGTGTTCATTTTAATGTTGTTTCAGTTGTTTGGTGTCCACTGAGATTTTTTTATATATATCTTAG